ACAATTTTAATTAAATACTATTACTTAAAATATCTTGCCAACAAATAGAGTAATCTGATGTTAGAAGGGAATTTAAAAACTGATAACACACATAATTAGTTATATTATTAATAAAGAATATAAATGAATTTCAACAGGTCTTTATTGATTATGAAATGGCATTTGATAGTGTAAAAACAAATGCCATCCTGAATTCTCTCCAAAATCAAAACAGAGAGGGAATATATAAATACCATAAAAAACATCAATCACATGCTTCAGCCACATTAAAAATAACAAAATAAATAAAAATAGAAATAAACAAAAAACTATCAAAACTTTTCACAGCAAGTCCTCCAAGAATATTTAAGGATTATTAAGTTGGTACTGCAAAGAAATAAAAATTGACTACAGACGCCTATCACACCTAAGGTTTGCAGATGACATTGTATTTTCTAAAGCATAGTCACTAAACTGTGAGAATAGATGTTGGGGATCTATATTCTTCAAGTAATGAAATTGACCAGAAAATTAATAAAGAAAAACCAAAATAATGAAAAAACAAGTATGCCACTGAGCACTCACTCAGTAATGATAGAGAAGAACCCAAGAGAAGAAATTAAATCATATTGCTACCTTGAGCAGTTTATAAACACACAGTAGAAAATGATAAAAAACTTAAAACTGGACAAAGAATAAAACTTTCAGCAATTTCATTCAAAAAACTCAATTGTATCTTTAAAAAGACACTCTTAAATCTCAAAAGAAAAGCTTTCTGTTTTAACATATGCAACAGAAACATGGAATCTGACAGAGCACTTAACTGACAAACTGAAAAGACACAAAGAAGAATAAAATGATCAATAATGGGGTTTATGATTAAAGACAGAAAGAGAAATGGATAAGAGGTCAAACAAAGCTAGACGGGACTATTCACATCAAATCTCTCAAGGCTTTCATCCAGATGAGGATAGAGACAGGCTGACTATAATAATAAATAATAACTTAAAATAAATTTCATTGTTAATTTATATTGCAATAGACTTATCCATTAAAAAATAGTGTTGGAATAGTGCATCTGTAAAGAGAGAAGGTTGTAAGTGAAAAAAAATGAGAGGAGAATAAAGAGGAGCGCAGTGAAAGAATTTGAGGTAGATCAGTGTATTGAATTCTGAATATTTTCATCAAAAACCTATGGATCAATATTTATTTGATAATTAATCCAATGAACTTAGTGCCAATTAAGTTAATTATAGTCTTGGAGGCAGATAGCAATTGTATACATGTATGGTGATGTCATGATCAGTATTCCAACTCAGCCAACATTACTCAGCATCACACTGCTTGATGTGTAGACATTATGGTTTAAGGTATAATATAGTCACTTATTACTTATTTTCATCTCATGAGCCCTATGGCTCAGCACTATGTAAGTTTTAGAATCTGTGGCATTGCCTTTCTTAGCCATGCTTAACAATCTATTATTACAGCAGGGTAATGCCCATTCACATGCTGCTAAGATATCTCAAGCAGTCCTTCATTCTATTAATGTTTTTTTATAGCTTTCAATATTCCTCAGGAAGTTGCCAATTAAGCATGTTGAGACATTATGGAGCAGTATCTTCTTTCTTTACTATAGCCATTTGAAACAATTAGTGATTTGAGAAATAGTTTAGAAATTGCTTTGTGGTCCCCAGGAAGACATAAAAAAATCTGTATGAGTATTCTGCAAAGAGTAGCTGCTTATATTACCAAAACTGAAGAATCAACACTATATTAACTGTAATTCAAAAAATACAAGTTTTTTACAACTGAAATTGATAATAAAGTTTATTACATTCCTATTGTGTATTCAAATCACATTTTAATTTTAATTTCTCAGATGCGGCAACCGTTTTGGACAGTGTCTTTGAGAAATTAATTGAATGAACAACAAAATTCAGAAAAAAGACATCATTATTTCATTTTATTGAGTTAATGCAAGTTTGGTTTAAAATTTGCAAAGAATGAGAGAAACACTTTTAAGGAAATGAAAATGGAAAGAAATAAAAATAATTGCACAAAAAATAGAAATGAAACTTGTATTTGCTCAGAAGCAAGTTTGTAAACAGAATAAAATGTTTGAGAAATTGCTTCCAAATAAATCTTGTGTGTTCACATCTGAACAAATTTTTTTCAACAACTGTACATCATTTTCGATCATTTAATTGATAAGGCTGAATGTCAAAACTTACATTCTCATTTTGCATTTTTGAATGAATTTGAGTTGACACAAATGGACCCTTGAAAAAAAAAAATGATAATTTGTTTACCTTCGAAATATTGAAATATATAGACAAATGCAGTGAATTTTATCCAGAAATTTACAGCTTTTCAAGAACAGCTACACTTGTGTTTAATTCAAATAACATTTAAAAAGTCTAGTGCAGGGGTGTCCAACCTTTTTGTTCCTCTGGGCCACATTGAAAGAAGTCATGGAGTTTTGGACCACAAGTATATATAATATATTTGTGATTAACAAGTCTAGATTATAGTAATAAGTATTAAAACTTTATCACAAAAAAGGATATTTTAAAAAATAACTTCTACAGACACTTTCAATTTTTACTTAAAAATAGATAAATTCATTTATTATAAA